CTAACAATGCACTGCCATCAACGTCAAGGTCATGGCCGCCAGCTATGCTGACCCAAGGAGGGTTTGGGCTGCAGCCACCCCCAAGATCCATGCTAAGGCACCTACTCACCCATTAACGCCACACTCTACAGGCCAGATGTGGACCCTGCCAGCTCCACCACGCTCACAACCAACAAGCCCACCAGTTCACTGGAACCAAGTTGCACCACCAGTTCATACTGATGAACCAGGGGATATGACATCCCAACCATGTTGTCATCTGAGAGCGATGCTTGCACAGCAGGAAGCAGAGCAACCAAGTACATCGGCCACGATAATGACAACTGCACCCTCAAGACCACCCACACTGCAGGTGAATCTCTTTGTTACCTCTGAGGGATCGCTTCAGTTCCTCGACGCCCAAGAACCTCCACCCCCTCATTGGCGTGCAGTACCACGTACTCTACCCAGTGTACAGAGGCTCATGACATTCATACGCACAGAAAGAGTGTTTGAGGATGCACCAAGCCGACCTGGCAGCAGGACAAGCTGCAATGGGGTTTACGGAGCAGCAAGGACCTCGCACCCCCACTGGTGCACGCCCACGCTCAGTTTCCTCACACACCTCAGACATGAGCTTCACTGATGGATATTCTACGGACTCAATATATCAATATAGTCCAACCACGCCTGATCCATGACCACAGGATACTATGCCAGTGCCAGGGAAATCTCCCACAGTTCCATTTTCCTCAACAGCCATGCAATGACGACTCACCACTCGCAGAGCAACCAGCATTTCTAGACAACCTCCCGGAGGACAAACAACCCCTTCGACGAAGTGCACAAATTCAGGCCTATTCCCTTGCTACACCTACAACACAACAAACACCTGCTGAGTCCACTCCAGGGGACATTTCCCCAGCCACCACTGATGGGGATCCTGATTATTGGGGCAAGATACCCCTGCAAGAGTTCAACCAACTCCTGAGTGAGATGCAGCCTGCAAAAATCGACGCCCGTAGGAAAGACAGACGCCGTGCTCCGTCAGCAGATGGGACAACTTCGCAGAGCGCCCGCCAAGCAACATGACCTTCTATTCTTGAGAGAATGTTATTACACCCTACAAACCTGCTGTGAACAACTGGAGAAACGCTGTGAGCAATTGGAAGCAGCAATGTACATCAATGTACAAACCAAGCTTTGAGCTGCCGAAACTAAACTTGTATGAGACACAGCACCCTCATGGTTGGCATTGTTGAATCATGTACTTGTTCATTGAATCATGTTATGCATGTATTAAATATGTTATTCCTTATTAATTCTTTTAAAAAATACAATTGTAAGTGTTTGAGTTTTAATGGTGTCAAACTATGCCTGTTTAACTTTTAAAAAATACAGTGGGACTGAAGTTGAAACATATTGGTGAATTTCTAATCCAGTAATGTAAAAAATATAAAGAGAGATAAATGGTAACAATAATTACATGTAATAATAGCTAAAAAGTGGAAATTGTAACATTAATGAAAGGGTTAATTTGGTAAAACAGTACAAGAAAACGGCCATTAGATGGCAGTAGAGGATAAGAAATTCACCAAAGGGGAGGAGTGGTCAGCGAACACTATAGGTGGAGTTAAGGTGTAACGCCCACCTGAAGGGAGGAGACAAGGTGGAGCTTAAGGTGAATATAAGGCGATGTTCGCTGACCACCAACTCAGTTCCATCCTGAGACCTGCAGGAATGTTGCTCGGGTTTATCTGTCCTTTATTGAAATAAACTCTTTTGCACCGACTCTTGACCGTCTCCAGTGAAGTTTTTATTACGTTGGTTAGGGTAGGGACCAGGTCTTTCACTGGCCCGGCCGGTCCTTATTTCCGACCCGAAAAGCTGGCTCGTCTCTCTCTTCTTCTTCTGCTGGTTCATTGCTGGTAAGCTAAAAGCATGGCAGTCTAACCAATGCACAATCAATGCACAGGCAGTTAAAGTTAATCAATATGTAGATCTGTGTTTTTAACTGCCACTGTTGCTGTGTCTTACCAAGATATGGACATTGTGAGCTGAAAAACACAAATCACTTCATGTTGGTGTATTCAGAACATGTAGATGTTGTTTAAGCAGCTGCTGTAATTAATATTTTATTGAAACAATGGACCAAATGACTGATGTGAATGGAGGGAATTATCACCTGTATCTGTAGTTCTCCAAGATTAAAACTACAGAAAGTTTTAGCATCCTTCAACTCATTAATTTTGTTTTATGATCTGCAACTTTAATCTTTTGGTTCACCTTCCCCTCTCTCATCAGTGCCATTTTCAGACATTTCTGGCAAAACAACTCTGATAAACCCAGTGTATGCTAGCAGCTCAGCATCAAACAGCAAAGTTAGGGACTAGCTGGTGGATCATTTAGCTAAATTACAAGATATTTCCCTCAGGAGTTGGTGGAGATCAAAAACAGAGCTAAAAGAAGAGTGAACATTGGACTTCCATTTATCGTGTGGCTTGATGTATAAATATATAACTATATGCTAACACATTAGACATATCAACTTTATAAGGTTTGTTCTGCTTCCCCCAGACGGCCTGAAAAATGTATTCCAGCAGATTTAAGGAGAATCAGTGATACTGACATTTCTAAAAAGCTGAAAGCTTATATTAACATAAAGCTATTAAGCTAAAATAAGTAAATGTGACGGTGATGCTTTGCCCTTGTGCCACAGTGATGTACTGTTACACAATAGAAAATTAGTTTACTTATGTGAAAAGTACTTTATTCTTTTGTTCTTTAGGTAATGTGTGGATTTACTCCATCTATGAGCCCAACTACAATAAGACAACGTCCAGCAAGGACACTTACTGCAACAAGACTCTCTACCTGTTTGCCTTCTGGACTACCAACCTGAACTACATCCTGTTAGGGCTCTTCCTTTTCTCTAGCTGTTGCACATGCCTTCTGTGTGCTGGTGATTAAAAAACAAAAACCCAACAAACATGTAGAAATGGTTTTCATTTGGATTAATGACAATAAATATATCCGTGTTTCATGTTGGTTTGATGCACATTTCTTATGTAAAGAGTGGCAAAGAAGATCGTTAAATGAAGCACCAGCATCACATGGTTTATTCTTATCCATCATTATCACAGAAATATTATCATTTACATTCAAAATGCAGTATAATACTTACTATTGTATGTTTATTCTCTTTTGACAGTTCTAATTTTTTACAACAGTATTATGAAAAAGTATGTTTGAACATATACAGTTTTCTGTGTATATAAAGTTATATCTCTCAGACAAACAAAGTACAACGAATAATGAAAGAGCTCGAGGTTTTTCTTTATAATGTTTTTAGGGTTAATATATTATGACATTTTTCAGTGGTAGTACAACACAATACTTGAGTTTCATTGTGAATACCAAAACAAAATGTTTTGTCAATACCTCAGTTTAATTTTTTGTAGAAACGCCCTTTTCTCATTTAGCAAAACATTCCAAACTTCCCAATGATCAGCGTTACATGTTGCCTTAACACAAGCGGCAATACACAAACTATTAATGAAATGCAATCTAAAGTCAAGTTTCTTAATCGGATCAATCAAATGTCTGATCACAAAGTTTTCCCACACATTTAATGCAATGTTCAGTACATGACCAGGTTTCAATACTTGATGCTATGGACATGTTTTGCGTATTGAGGTCATGCTGCACATGTGTATTTAAGATGCAGAGAGAGAGACACTGTGAATGTAACTGTAGATGGCCAAGGTCTAGAAATGTTCAGTTCTTCAGACCAGCAGTGGTGAACCATTTCACTGTAGCCATCCACTGCCGGGATTCCAAATCTTTTTGTAGCTACCAGTTATTTTGACACACAAAAAAAAAATAGGGCCCAGGTTTAAAAATACAGAAAATATGCTTTAAAATATTAAAAGTACAATCACTCTTTATGTAGGATGGCCCATGACGATGCATTAATGTTGCAGCTGGTAAAGGTGGGGCTCATTTTAATGACTTTACTGCTGGGTAGTTAACCTATAATAATATGTCATCATTTATTAGTTGATTTATATTTTGTACTGAAATGTGCAAAGCATATAATAACTAAAGTTGTGAAATACATGTAGTGGAGTGGTAGAATGTATACAAAGAAAAACATTAAATGTACCTCAAAATTATAGACATCAATTTTAAAGTTGTGTACACAGGAGTCATGTCATATAAGTGTCCTGCTCGGGATCACTTACAGGTGTAGAAGTAGAATGACCTTGTATGAGATACGTCGTAGACCCTATGGGAGCAAAGGGATAAATATTTGGAGCAGAAAGGAAGCAGCAGATTTGGTTTGGCATGATACTCTGTGCTGCTGATGCCTTTTCCTCCTCGGCCGGGCTTCAATTAATCTTGCTGCTTAAGACATCCTGAGTTTCCTGAAAACTTCAATAAGAATTGGCTAGCTCACAAGAATATCCTTCTCAAAATGCAACAGACAATCCAGTGTTTGACTTCTTTGTCCTGTGGCATCTGGGAATCTGTTTACGTTTTAGACTCAGGAAGAAGAAGTGAAAGGACATTTAAAGTGAGGCACACACGAAAAGAGAAACATTCACAAACATGTCATATGGGAATTGTGTAGAAATGGGACCTCTAGTAAGCAGATATATCTAAGTGCTGGTCTACCACAACAAAGTCCACACACAGTATACTTCTTCTGATACAAAATTTAGACTCCAAATCTATATTTGGATACATCTTCTCCAAAGGAGGGGCGACATTTTAACTGATACGGGCACTGACTCAATGCAAACAACAAACATTTTACACAATATTAAAATGTGTCTCGTATGCAAAATAATGCATAATTATTTATGGGACCTGAATTGCTGTTTGGCTTCACTCCAATCGTCCTCATTCCCACCATTGTAATGGAGAGGGGGCTGAAATGAAGCATCAAGAAGCCGGATGTTGAAACCAGGATGGCTGACGCACACTTTCTGTGACCTGCAGACGTCACAATCCAGCAACACATAACAAGTTCTTGCTTGAAAACGCTTTACTTTATTTTCCAGCCATCGGGGAGATACAGCACATCTGACACGCAGAAAGGTATAAAAGATCTGGCTATTCTATCAGGTTTTCTGCTAGAGAAAGTTTGCAATCTGCAAACCACAACCTACAAACTGTAACCATGGATAGTAAAAGGGGCTGTTTTGCACTTGTCTTTTGTTAAATGAAAAACATTTTTCAGGATTTTTCTGTCACCTTTCAGACTCGACATCCTCAGCTTGTAGGTTAGACTTACCATTAGTGATCATGACAGAAAGTGGCACAAGTGAAGACGCCCGCAGACCCTCAACAGCTGCAGTAGGTGAGGGATGGTGATGTATGCTTGTGGTCATAGTTGAATCATCCTCACAGTGTGTATAGTTGCTGCATGTAACAGCAGTAGGTGTCAGTGATTACTTTAAAATATGTTCTGTCTGGGTTTCAACAGCATGCTCCAAGGTGATTCTCAGCATCTTGCCGGTCACTCAGATAACAATTGGTGAGTGACTACGAGTGCTCTTCCTTCTAACAAGGTTTTTTTCAGATCGTATCTATCATTTTAAATCCTTTAAAGCTTAAGGATCATTTTTATTTTTCTTATTGCAAACAATGCATCACTACATCACAAACTTTAGAAGTCTTTTGCATCATTTAAAATATATTTTCCCAAAGTTCAGATCCTTGTCCACGTGTCTAACAGGAGCACTGTACCAAAATGACTGCCCAAAGCAGCACTACATCCCCATCTACTTGGAGGTAATGGGAGGCTACAAACTGCTGTTAATTTGGCTCCCCTTCCTGCGACTCAACCACCTCTCGTCTAACACTTCCTTCAGAGGCCTGACAATTGCCTTCCTCTTATGCTGGTTCATCACCGGTAAGTTCAAAAAGAGCAGTAGATTCAACACTGCACTAAAAGGAGTTATAAATCTAAAAGGTAAATACATTATTTGCAAGTTGAAACATCAGTGATGCACATGATATGAAAAACCACAACATCAGAGCTTTCTCTTCACGCACTGCAATAATATTAATAATCACTAGATGTCCCCATCATGCCTCTACATGTTACAAATGAAATCCAATAGCTGTAACGGTGAAACATCTGCATTTATTAGATGAAGAGAAGTAAAACAGCCCTTCATTTTTGAACGCTGTGCACTATGGGCTTCCTTTTCTCTACTGTAGGTAATGTGTGGATCTACTCAATCTATGAACCCAACTACAATAAGACAATAACCGACTTAGATCCTTACTGCAACAAGACGCTCTACCTTTTTGCCTTCTGGACCACCAACATGAAGTACATCCTAATAGGTCTGCTCCTTTGTGTCTGCTGCTGTTGCAAGCGTCACCTTCCGAGTGACATGGCGTTGCCAAGATGACAATCTAATCCCACTGGTGGGGCGCAGGTACCTCATTTGGTAGAGCATGCCCCATGTACTAGGCTGAGTCCTTATTGCAGTGGCCTGAATTCGAGTTCATCCTTGGGCCCTTTCCTGTATGTCTTCCACTCTCTCTCCATAATTTCCTGTATCTTATAGAAAAAAACACTAATAGTTCACACTGGTGGTGGATACAATCTTGTTTGTTTCCATGTGCATATTACCCTTTTGCCTGGAGTGTATCTTATTTGACCTTTAAAGCCATAGCTATATAAAATAAAGTCAAATGGCATTATGTGATAATATATATAATCTTTTTATATATACTATTCTTTTCATCAGTTTAGATATTATACTATTTTGTATTGTAAAGAATAGTGATCCAGGCTGAAATATCTCCACAACAACTGGATGGGTTGACATTTCCTTTTTTCATCAGACATTCATGGTCCCCAGAGGATGCATTTTCATCACTTTGTTGATCCCCTGACTTTTCCTCTTGCACCACCATGAGGTTGACATTTAAAGCTGTCACTGTAATGTTTTTTATCATACAACGCATGGTTTTACAATGAAGTGAAAGTTTGCAGTCCCTTCAAGCTAGACACAAAGAGCAGATGATTAAACGTATTAGAATATATGTATATTAGAATATGTTAACATAAAATACATAATGCCTACCTACCTGCTATATCATTCTTGACTTCTCCACCTGCAGAACTACAAACAATCTGATTTCACCTCTGCCTGCCTGCTGGATCAGCCTTTGGGACAAGCTCACCATTCAACCAGCCAAACCAGCCATGCCAGCCTGGCCTGCACAACCAACACACTCGGAGAGTACCCCAAAACCCTGAGTCATTTCCACACCTCTTTACATTATATCAAACTGTTAAAGTGTGAGTCTCTATCTACTTTTGGTTTCAGGCAATTGTATAGTATTTTTGCTGAGTGTGGTCAAAAAAATTGCTGTTGTTGTTAAGGCGATAAAAAATGATTCTGAATTGAAAGAAAAACCCCTAAAATATCTCACCTTACCCTGTCGACACCTCATACTGGGAAAATAAGCTCTCTTTTACCAACCCAGAAAAAATGGGAACCATGATGACAAGGCATAAAATACAACACCCAAGTGCCACCACAAAGCATGATCCGTTGCCAGTACATGAAATGAAAGCTGCTGATAAAACCTGGTAAATTTTATGTGGGCAAAGCTGATGTGCAGGGTTTTTTCCTGGCTCATAATAGTACTTTGGGGGGTGACTTTTCACAACAGTAAGCATGATCGGTACTGGTACAGTGGCAATGAGTCACCTTATGACCGAAATCTATGCATGTCCTTGTTACCTCTGACCATTTGATAAACAATATATACTATATTCCAAACCAGGAGGAGGAGTAAGAAGTATAAATTAGCGTATTATTAAATATTATAACATTAAATAAAAAGCATAATGTTAGTATAATAATATTAGGTTACATTTTATTTGGATAGTTTGCCTACAGATGGTTGCACAAAAACACATGACATGTAGGAGTCCTGATCGCCTGTCTTTGGACTCTTCAACTTTTTGTCTTGGTATTTAATCCACCTTATTTAAGACCACAACTTGCCTTGTGTACAGAACTTTTACGGAACTTTTATAGTGAACAACTAAGTCTACAAGTCTTAGAAAATAACAAAACGCTGCTGCTACTGGGGACGCAAATAACAATTTCAGCCTGGCTATTTAGCCTACTGGAGGAACACAGGAAAGCATTTGCGGCGGACTTAAAAACCTCCCTCTCATCTTTTGAAGCAAAGGTTGATGGAATTCAAGCAACTGTGAATGACCATGACCAGAAAGTTACATCACTGGAAGCTAATGCTAACTTGCAGGTTGAAAGCATATTAGCCTTTAAAGCCTCACGTGCTGCACTTTCAGAGGCAAATGCTAGGCTGTTAGCGAAAGTGTCAAACCATGATTTTCGTAGTCACCGCAATAATATTAGAATTGTGGGCTTACCTGAAACCATTGAAGGAACTTATTCCACCACCTTTTTGACAAGCTGTTGGATGAGGTTATTAGCAAGGATGTCCTTCCTTCAGTCCCGGAGTGTAACAGGGCTCATTGGGCACCCGGAGCCAAACCAAGTCCAGGACAGCGTCCAAGGGCGGTAATCATGTGTCGTGTCAAGTCAAGGAACTGGTTATCTGTGAAGCCAGGTCCAAAGGAGGTAAGCTGCAATACCATGGCACTTCACTTGCCATTAATGATGACTACACGCCAGAAGTAATGCAGCAGCGATCCAAATATCTGGAAGTGATGTCTGGACTTTACAAGCCTGCATTGTGGTATCCTGCTAGACTAACAATAACGGATAAACGTGGAGGTAGGAGAATACTCTACTGTTGAAGAAGCCATTGACTTATTAGCTTCCTTCAGCACCACAGCTAACTAGCATGAATATACTGTGATCACCGCTAACCACTGACAAGTTTGCTATTAGCTACCCAGTTGTTTTCTCCACCAGTCTGGCTGCCGGAAGTTGAAGCTATATTTTGGCATAGCCTGTGGCTCGGGGATGCTGACCTCAGCTATGCTATGTCTAGTGTGGTGTATAACATATGTGCATTTGACACATAACACTTTAACATAGCACTGTAGCAGCTGGATAGAGGATTAGTGACCTTTTAAGGGGGGGAGTAGAGGTCAGTGGTTATGTGGAGACTCAGACCCTTATATGGTGTCTAACAGATGTCACACTTATCCTATAGGACTGTGCCGAGAACAGGGAGGACGCCGTGAGGCAAGTATGAGGAGGAGAGGGCCGGTAGATGAGCCCAGCCGACTGAACGGAGGACGAGAGTGAGTGTACATGGGAGGGAAACAGACAGAGAGACAGGGTTAGGGATGACGGCAACAAGGCACAGGGAAAACGTGAAAAAACATGAAAGCCTGAACACGGAGGAGGCAGCGGGTATGGAGCAACAACGATAAAGGATGGTGTGGAGAACCAGGGTTGAAATACAGGCAGGGATGAGGTGACTACTGGCAGGTGTGGCAGGCTGACGAGGTGGCTGATGAGGTGCAGGTGCGGGTCGTTGGCTGGGCTCAGGAGCAGAGGGAGAGAGAGCACACAGGGGAGAAAACACAGGGAGGCAGGCAGGGAACAGAAAACCAAGGAAAAAGTAGAATAACTGATAAAAAGGAGAAAAATCAGGACACTCGCCGTCAGCTGGGCTGCCACCACAACAGGTGCCTTGGTTTGCAGACTCAGACCCTTATATGGTATCTAACAGATACCTAAACATGTCCTATATAAGCTATGTTTGATGTACAGAGAGACAGAGTGGTCATCGGGCTGGGTCACTCTCCAAGCTGCTGCAGAGCTTGTAATTGATGCTGAACTCCTTGATGTAATAAACTTTTATGATCAAGAACAGTGTCAAGCAGATTTCTTCTCAACACATCATTGCAGCATTATTGTTCGGACACCACACTATCTTTATTGACTCGTGTTGCCTGTGGCAATGGATTGGATTCTAGCAATTTCTACTTTATTCCCCATTGTGGAATGACTTTTTCTTCTGCTTGTTTTTCAACGTTGAACTGCATAATAGAGTTCAGGACATGCGTGATGATATCAGCATTCCATACTATGCGTGCTCAATTTTTATTTGGACTGGTGCAAGCCTGTGCTATGGTATATCGGCCGCTCATGTTTGCTATTTCTGAATCGTGGCTTCATGACAAATGTTTCATACAGTGCTTATGGGACATCAAGAAGAGGAGATTTGATATAAATCTAGTCTCTGAGTGTGTCTCTACAAATGCTGTGCCAAGTAATTTAGAATGTATTTTCACATCATCATCATTATGAAAAGAAGTTTAAAATAGGAAATATTTAACCTTCCTCTGCTCCCACGTATTCCATATAAGATGCTTTGGCTACTATTAATTCACTTGATAGACACAACCTATTGATCATATTGAGAGACTAACAGTAACTAGTTGGATCGGTGTTTGTCAGGTGATAGAAATCTTTTAGGCAATGAAAGCCTCCCTCAGCTTATTAAAGAACCCACCAGAGTTGGTGGCAAGTCTTCTACCTTGCTAGATTTGATCCTTTTTTCCAATCCATATAGGATTTTCAAATCAGGTGTTTTATCAGATTTCTTCAGTCATTCCATAATATTTAAATAAATTAAAATAAGCAATGTACAAATATTAATGTTGATTTTTATTAATGTTGATTTTTACATAGGCTTCAAAGAATTCCACTTGTGGATGAGGCATGGAACTTCTTTTATAACAAAGTTATAACTGTAATTGATAAACATGCTCCTGTGAAAACAACTTAAGTAAAAGGTATATTATAACTCTAATCTATTTCAACCAAAACAAAGGGATGAAGCTTGGATTAAAAATCCCTCCTCAAAAGACGCCATTGACGGGGAAATCCATTGACAGTTAAGGAATAAGTGCAAAACTGAAACAAGGACTGCTAAATCTAATTATTATAGAGACTGTTTGTTTCATGATTTTAACATCCCAGGCATATCTGCAACCCTGTATGCAGGATAAGCGGTTGACGATGGATGGATGGATGGATGGCATATCTGGAATCATCTAAATAACATTCTCAGCAAAAAAAAAAAAAAAAGTAAGGTCAATGATAGATCCTTTGCTTATAGCTCATGCTTTCAATAATTATTTCTCATCTGTGTGTAGATCAAAATTCGATAACTCCTTTCATTTAAAATCCTCTCGCCTACTGATATTTATTAAGCATTATTTGACCAAAAAGTTAATTGCAGTGCAGGACCAGATGATCTGGAAGCTTATTGTCTTTGTCCACCTGTACTGTGCCACATATTCTGAAATCTGCAGGAGTTACACCACTTTTCAAAGGTCAAATGTCAAAAAATCAAATGTGAATTATTATCAGAATGATTTCTATCAATTGTGCAGTAGCATAATCTTTTGAGAAATTTGTATAAGATTTTAACCAATTAACTGATTACATTGATAATTACAATATTGTGTCTCCACATCAATCTGGCTTCAGACTCAATTTTTCTACTACAACAGCTCGTTTAAGATTTACAAATGATCTGTTCTCTGGTTTTGATAGTGGTCATTTCACTGGTGCTGCTTTTATTGATCTCTCAACTGCCTTTGACATGGTTGACCATTATCTCATTAGACAAGCTTTACTCTATTGGTCTGAATCAACATGCTGTGCTCTGGTTTAACTCCTACTTGCATAATAGATGCCATTGTGTCATTTATCAAAGATCCCAGTCAGATTATTTAATTCTTCATAAAGGTGTTCCTCAAGGTTCAACCTTAGGCCCCCTACTTTTCTCCATTTTTATAAATTACCTGGCATAAATTTGTTCACATTGCGCAGTTGAGCTTTATTCTGACGACACTGTCATTTACTTCTGACCGTGATTTATGGCATATTTCAACTGTCTCACGTACCTGAAACAGTATTTAATTCCTTAAAACTTTGCATACTCACTTTTTTATGGGACCCAGATTCATTTCTGTAGCTGGCCGTAAAGCATTTCAATACAAAGCCCCTCAAGACTGGAACATTCTTCCTCTTTCTTTGAGATCAATTTCTACTTTTTGTTTCTGTAAATCATCTCTATTTTCTTTTCTTAAAACAACATGCTCTTTTTATTAGGGGTACCAACTGTACTAAGAATATATATATATGAATTCTGTATATGTGGAGTGTACATTTGAATGACTATAATCTTGATTTTTCATTTATTCCATTCCTGTGGTGATGAGACCTGAAATTCCTGTATGTTGCATTTGTTATAATGCATATTGATAAGTGACACATTAGTTGTTTTCTGCACTCTGTTGTTCACTTGGTCAATGTAATTGTGCTAATTTCCTCTCTTATATTAATTGTGGGTGGGGTAAGAGTAGGTGAGCGAGTAATTGTTTTTTATATGTTTGTGTATTGTGTGTATGTCTGTGTATTATCTGTACTGTGTGTTGTGTCTGTACATGCATGTTTATTGCAGGACCCCCTCAAAAATGGGGCTATCTTTTAATAAATTTAAATTCAAAAGAAAGTAAGAAAAAATAATTCCTTCAGTTTCAAAAGGGTCAGCGTTGGACCGGCCGTCGTGCCTGAAGAGTGTCAGGGTGTGCCACTTGTGTTCACGGTTTTGTGAGTTTTCGAGCACATTTAGGCCTTCTAAAATGTGATTCATTTGCTGGGTAATATGAGTAGGGCCAGTTGGGTGTCTTGGCAGAGCCCTTGGGTTTGGTCAGAGCTGGTTCTCTGTGGCAATTAAAAAGAGGATATAGTCAAAAGAAAAGGAAAGGCCAATTTACTAGGCATGAACCATTTTCAAATAAGGGAGTGACGTGTTTTTGTCCTGTGAGGCAAAAAAAAACAAACAAATATGCTGCAGTTAGATGAAAAATTTGTGCCAGCTGAGACAACCATGGTGCTGCCATTCTTCACTAGAAAATTACAAGACAAAACTGTAGTATTTGTGTTTCTATGCTTGTGGGACAGCATGACCACGTGAACCTCTGGGAACTGGAGAAGGGCGAAAGGTGATGTCACGCAGGTGATGTGACAGGAGTTTCACCTTATTAAAGGTGGGGTACTTGAAAAGAAACCACATCGGGTTGTGTAAAGGTTTACGATTCAATCTAATTTCACAGGTTTCCACCTAAATAAATCTTAATGTTTAACAGTTTCCTATTGGAGGCCACACCCACTCTTAACTTCCCTATCCCGAATTTCACCTGTTCTCATCTGGTCACCCTGGTTCAAGGACAAACGCCACTGGTAGGGGTGCTATTGTAGGATATGCTTATGTGGGACATATTTAGAGGCATGGTTAATACAACCTTTGCCCCTCCTCACACCCCTCCATTAAACATTGGCACGAACGGTCTACGGTTGTTACCGAGTGGGGAAAAAAGAGATTAGATGTAGTCACTGTGAGAAAAAATACTTAATGTTGGGCATTTAGTTTTTTTTATAAATTATATAGTAATCCATTAGGCAGAACTAGTTTAGGTTCAGAAAGAAGCAATGCATCGGAAAAAGAAATCAAAAGAGAATCAAACTTGCACTTAATAAAAATAGGAACTGTGCAGGAGTGTGGTTAAAAAACACAAGACATACAGCTCCTCCTGAAGAAAACTCAGTTAAGTAAGAGAAAAAGACGAGACTGATTCTGAATTGAATTACAAAGCCAATTTCCAGAAAAGTCGGAATATTTTCCAAAATCCAATAAATATTGGCACCTATGAGTGGGCCATGACTGATCCTTTCTTTAACCAAGCCAGAAAGATGGGAAAGCTGATGAAGACATAAAATACAACATCAAAGTGCCTCTGAGGGGTCGCCAGTACATGAAATTAGCGCTCCTAAAAACACCTGGAGAAAATTCTGGAGGGATTCTATTTGAAGTCGACATGGGCAAAGCCTGCCAGAAAGCACTGTAAACCAGACAGATACACAAGATACTGGTAAACAAACCACATGCTGTTTCTTTTTTACAATGTCAAAATACAATTCAATTCTTCTGATTTCCTCCAGACCTTAAAAGTTTGACATTTCAGGAAATTACATATTTGCCATTTAGCCAGGAGAAGAATAATGTCATTCTCATGTTTGTCTAATATGAAGCTGTAGCTAGCTGAACTTAGCACAAATACTGGAAACAGGGGGAAATAGCTAGCCGTACTGTAATAGAAAGGGAACTAAAATGAAGCATCAAGATGCAGCACATTGAAAGAGGAAGTCGAGACATACACAGACAGGCACAATATATATTCCCAAGTTCTTTTGCAAAAGCTCTTTTCTTTCCTTTAGCAGGAGACACACAAACAGGTAAGACATGACATATCTGATACTGAGCTATAGCCTGTATTGTTTACTGTATTTTAGTAGTAGTAGTAGTTTAAATGACCTGCTAAAAAGATTTTGTAAACACCTTATTTCTTGTAGAACCTTATTATTATATTACTCTTTTTGGTAGTTATTTGTTAGTCAATAGTGACTAATAGTGTTCATTCATGTATGTGAATGCACATAGGTGTTGTTTCTTGGTGTTTAGTAATAGAAGTTTTGAAAATGTTTCATCAAATTGTTAAGATTGTATTTTTTCGTTTTTGTTTTTTTGTAGGGCTGAATTATACTGTGTCCAGTGTTACTTGCTGTTAAAAGATTTAACCACTGTGGGATATTGAGTTGTTTGCTATTATACATAACAACAACAAAACCAATCAGAGAGGTTTACTGCATTATATTTGGGTTTAGTGTTTGTATTTGTACAGTAGCTTTTTGTCTAATGAAGAGCAACTTCCAGACTCAGCTCTTGTTTAATGTACCTGGCAAACAGTGTTGACAGCTGCTGTACACTATCTATTCTCTTTGTATCGGTGTAGGTTACATATATCATCAGCAACGATGCCAGAAAGTGACAGACCTCAACACACCAATGGACTTCTAGCATTAACAGTAGGTGAGAGATAGTGATGTGCAAATTTCTTGCAAACTTGTGCTCAGTGTTAAATTAAACATCTACTGTACAGTACATCTGGCATGTAGTGTTATTAGGTGATTGTAAAAAAAAAAATTGTAAAATATTTTTTGTCTGTCTTCACTCAGTATGTGCTGTGGGGATTTTCACCATCATGCCCTTTGCTCAGGGGGTAGTTGGTAAGTAACATTATGAAGATGTATTGTACCAGCAAAGCATCTTTTTGAATGTCAAACAGCCAGAATTGTTTATTCACCAACAATAAAATGTAATAATCATTAATGGAGGAGGCAGGTGAAGTAATACTGACCTTTGTCTTTGTGCTTGTGTCCATCAGGAATATTATACATGAATGACTGTCCGAGGCAGCCATTCATCCCCATCTATCTGTTGCTAATAGGAGTGTGCAGCATCATAGAGCGCTGGTGCCTTAACAAGTGCAATACGCTCCTTTATAGAGTGTTCTCTTTCTTCGTTTTCATCTGGTTCATCGCTGGTGAGGAACTGTACACAGACATTATTTGTCATATAAAGTTGGCCTACATTATAAGTTCAAATTTTTCTTCACTTCCTCTTCTAATTTGGTTGTGAAAACGATTATTGTATGAACATGGAGGTTTAAATGAGAGACACCATCTTAACCACATCTTAAACCATTAAAGCTTTGCCTTCTTTAGTTGTTAATGGTGGACTTGTAGTTGCAGATGTACTCAGTTCTGTTTTTTAAGATACTGGGGAGAGGATGCTTCAGTTTTTTGCAGTCAAGGGGCTAATAAAGATGGGTAGGGTCTCGCCCCCCCTTTTCCTGGCCCAAGTCATCGCATACAGTCCTTAATTAAAAGTCATAGATTAATAACTGTACTTACACAAGCAGGCAGAGCTTTCCAAATCAATGTTGTCAATTAACACATCAAGTGAGTGAGTAAAATGAAAGGGATGGCTCACAGTGATAAAATTAGCTCACTTACCCATCTTTGAAGTAGTGTAGAAGAAGTGTATGTTGTATTATATTTGTTTTGGGCTCATTTGTCTGGAGGTAATGTGTTGACCTACTCTTATTAATGAACCCAACTACAATTAACATGGTTGTGATTTTCCTTCAGACAAAAACATCATTCTTTTCTTGGGACTTTTTTTCTCCAGGTAATGTGGGTATCTACTCTATTTATGAGCCCAACTACAACAAGAACACAACACAAGTCAGTCCCTACTGCAACAAGACACTCTACTTGTTTGCCTTTTGGACCAACAACTTAACCTACATCCTGCTCGGTGTGCTTTTTCTCTCTTGGTGCTGTTGTACACATGAAGAACCTGATGATGAGGCACAAAGACCCTTGCAGAGATATGTAGTGATACATACCAGAAGCTCTGTTCCAAATCCAAATTAGTAAGTGAGTTTCAATCCCAAAAGACAGAAACCAAAAGAGACGTGAAGAGCCCTTGTTCCTTCTTGAATTACAAAGGTTTCCTGAACACTTTGAGATGCGTTCCCAAAACACACACTGACAGAAAAACTTTGGAACCATATTTGTCAACTTGTTGTAATCTAAAAAAAACACTTCAATTGCGAAATGTAATCTTGATGCTGAAATTCAGTTTTGTACTGTCTAACATGAATAAGTTGCAATTCTATTAAAACTAAACCATATGAACTGAAATGATCCCCTAGTATAATACATATGCTGTATTTGTTTAGTTAGCCCCTCTCTAGTATTGTGTTCAGTTACTTCTCTTGTCTAGGTTAGAGAAGCTATAAGATGTCAAAACATCCCAGTAAAATAATATTGCAATGACATAATGTGATCATATTTGCTTCCAACTTCGAAATGCTTAATTTTGGTTATTATATGTCTGTTTTGCATGTTTAATTAGTTTGTCATATTATCTTGTCTCATCAGTAGAAACTATGTTTGAAACAATAATTGCAGGTAGGAGTTGTTTTGTAACTTTATCGTATCTTATTTTGTATCTTTTTTATTTAACATTTTATTTAAGAGTAATAATGTGATTCTTTTAAGTTTATTAATTACTGTTATGAACTGTCTATGACTGTGTTTGATTCACATCCATTAAACCTGTTGAGATCATAAGAAATGATGTTACACAAACATGATGTTTAAAATATCTGTCTGTAAGAAAATGTAAATGAGATATCCTTCCTTTTTCTCCTGTTATTAATCTTTTGAAATCATATGATTGTGTAACATCTATGTCATTGTAAGTGTGTTTTGACCAATCGTATATTCCAAACTAAGAAATCATGAGTATACAATACAACCAGACACACAGTATATATAGTGCGACGCACGAGCGCCTGATGCGTTTACTTCTCCTCTTACAATTCAGCGGTACCCTGGACCAAAAGGTCCAATAATTCCACTACTGCCGCGAGAAAAGTGATGTTCCCTGATGTTCATGAGCTCTTCTCTGGTGAGAGAGCCCTGGGTATCATGGTAAATAACAGAAAGTAGATATTAAAATCACCCCAGAGTCACGTTTATTGATGTGCGTCTTTTATCACAGAAATATTATAATTTACATACAAAAAACAAATAATAATGTATGTTTACTCTTTCACAACTGTTTTCACAACTGTATTACATCATGTAAAAAATTATGTTTGGATACTAATAATATTTTCACTCTTTATGCAAAGTTACATGTTTTCAGAGAGATAGTCACGGCTGTCAATCTGATTGGAGGGCTGGGCTGTGATGTCAGCACGGTTTGCGAGCGAGGTTGGCCAGTGCTTTGGTATGGATGGGCTTGTAGAGGAGAGTGAAGCTGGAGGGGCTGAGTAGGCCATTGCCCTGTGCATCGACTTTTCCCATCAACACGTAGTTCTGGCCTGGACAAGAGACAGAGCGTGAAAAGAAGGTGTCATAATATATCAAACACCAGGTTCATTTGTGGTCAACATTTAGTAGTAGCACTGGATGAAGCGCAGTCGTTACTTTTGTTACCTTCTTTATCTAAGATCCTCTAAGACTAAGAAACTGACCAAGCACTTGATGGTCTCTTTCAGTACTTGACAGATGATGCTATGCAGTTGATGATATGTTAGTGTGTAAGATCCAGAGACAGACAAAGGCTGTAAAAAGTAGGGATGGGCGAGTACACCATTATCTGTATCTATATATATTTATTCGTACCTGTACTTGGAATGGGGCTTAACCCGGAAGTTGTTCATTTAAAATGTATAGCCTATGGTTAATTAGAAGTTGCAATCTTTTGTAGAAAACTATTTACAGAACAGCCTCATAATTGTGCACATTTCTCTCTGATGATACTCTGACTCGTTAAAAGTCTATTATCTGTACCGGATGCTTGTTTCAGCCAAGTTCTGGCTCAAGCCTAGTAAATACAAATAGATGTCCTGTACCTTTGATTAGCCCGGGGCATCTCTTGCAGGTTGAGGTCAGTGTGACAGACAGGACGGGTCCTGATTTGGTGATATTCAGGCGTCCTGCCTTATAGGTCTTGATTAGGAACACTTCAACTGTCACTGAGCCCCTCAGACCAGGGGTCAAAGCTGTAACCTTGCCCGTAATCACTGAAAGAGAGAGAAATATAAAAATAAGAATGCAAAGAAAGAGAAAGAGGTTGCATGGTCAATGATGGGAAAAAAAATGTTTGGAAATGGTGAAATGTCACTGATCTTTGGCTTTTTCTAAATAATTATGCTTGTTGTCGGAACAAAGAGATTCTGGAAGTCCATTTCTTCAACTAGCCGCTTGCTAAAACAATCAAGATCACATCACAAAACAAGTTTCACAGAGAGGGACAAAATGAGTAAAGTGGTGAAATAAGTGACATTTTAATAAGTGAAAGAGATGTGAAAATAGAGGGGAGATTTTTTTAAGACTAAAGGGCAGCTGATGTGGCTCACCGAAGTCATGAGGGCAAAAGTTGGATTGGAGAGTTCCTGTCCTGTTACAGGCTTGTGTGCACAGTGGGTTCAGAGGTAAAGCTGAAGAAAACATACAAACAAACACCTGATAAGTGTGGACAATATATATATATATATATATATATACATACATACACACACACGAAAGAACAGATTCTTAGTTTTGCAATCAAGTAATTCACTCACGTTTCTTGCTCACAACAGGCTTCTTCGTCACTGTCTTGCTTACTCCAGGTTTGGTTGTCACTGTAGGCTTAAACTTCGGTTTGGCTGTTGGTTTAACTCCGCTCTTAGAGGTTGGCCTTACTGGTTTGACAATAGGTTTTAAGGTGGGCTTGGTCTTCGGTGCAGGTTTCCGTGTGGGTTTAACCTTGATGCTTGGTTTGAGCGTTGGCTTAATAATCTTAGGTTTGGGTGTAGATTTAGCTCCAGGTTTAAATCCCGGTTTAGGTGCAGGCTTTTTCACAGGTGCTTTAGGTGTGGGTTTAGCTGGTGCGGGTTTAGCTGGTGCAGGTTTAGCTGGTGCGGGTTTAGCTGGTGCGGGTTTAGCTGGTGCGGGTTTAGCTGGTGCGGGTTTAGCTGTTTTGGATTTAGCTGGCTTGAGTGGAAGCGTGCGTGGTGGAGATATCTTCACCAGTGGTTTCTTGGCTGGTTTGGGGGTGGGTTTAGGCAGTTTCAGGGTTGGTTTGGTGGGTTTGCTTGGCTTCACGGCTATTTGTTGTGGCGTTGAGGTGGTCTGAGGCCCATAGATGAAGTCTCCCCCAGCGGTGGGCGTCCGAGACCCTCGAGGCACACTAGAGTAGTAGGCCATGAAGCCATCTGAGGTCACGCTGAGGTCTGAGACAAACTGGACAAGGAGCTCGTTCCCATTTGTCACTATAGTTCTATGTAAAGGATAAGGGAAACAGAGAGATCAGGAGGAGTGAATTGCAATCGGGAAAGTGCAAAAGAAACACTGGCAGAGTTTAGCTGCAAGCCATGTCTTTGAAAAGCAACTTTAGCAAGTGTTTTGCCTCTTTTAATATCTAGCCTATTTCAGTAATCTCACCCTGGTGGCCTGTCTCCGCAGAATCTTCCAATCCTCCGCGAGTTATCCCTCTCTCCTCCATTAAACAATGCCACATAATCGTAGCGACAGTATGTGTCAGGCTCCAAGTCCAGCTTCTCAAACTTCACCTCAATCACCTGGGGAAGAGGTGGCGATCACACAAACATGCCAACACAAACAATAAAATTTATGACGAGGAATGATTTGAGCTGGTTTTCTCCTCATGAATCAAGTGCAGTGCAGACATTGGTAGTGGTGTTGGTGGAGAAGGGCCAGACTTCTGAAATACAGAAGGGCATTTACTCTCTCCCTCGCTCTAGCTTCCTTAGCTCTTTCCCTACGTCCAATCTCTTGGCACACATGAACACAGCTTCAGACACTCAATGAAGTCTTTCATTTGAACTTCGTCATAAGGCCGATGTCACACACACTACATAAGGGACATGAGGTAGAAGATTTCCTTGTGATGGGCCCCTTCACTACTATTTTCATTCCTCCTTCTCCTGAACCAACCAGCCTTATAAAACACACCTTGCTGCATTATAGCTCAAACTGAAATTAGAATACTCCTCACTTTCTGTGAAAGGAAACATAACATAATGATATATTGTGGCTATTTTTCCACTTGTCCTATGAGGATAAAACCATGTAGCCGCGTCTGTGCTTCAAGCCTCCAAGGGGGCATTTCCCATTTCAGCAGATGACTGACATCTGAGAGCTGGCATTGCTAGCAGACACACTGTCAACTTTGGTAGCGCGCTACTGACTGGAGAACAACATGACTCTAAATTGTTGAATGTTGACACAATACATTTTTAATCCTTTTTCCAACAAGCCCACATAGCGTTTGCTATCAGCCAGATTTAAGCCTTCTGTCTCTTTACAACAATCAGCAGTCACTTTGGGGTAACTCGTCGTGCTGTTGAGTTTGTATTCCACTCAAAAAGTAAAAGCTAGCATGCTAGGATAACCAGCTAGCTAGCAAGACTTTAGTAATTTAAGAGGTCTGCTCCTTTACATTATTCAACATTTGTGAGGACCTGTCGAAAACCAGGCTAGCTATTTAGCCTAGCTTGCTAACATTACTAAAGACATTCATTTGTTTTGCTCTCACGCCACTTGGAGAACACTACTGATTTTAATTTTTTTTTTTTAACTAAGTACACAAGTCAAAACACACACCAAGGATTTATAGACTGCAAAAATATATTAAAAATTAAGTTCGACAAAAGTCTGTTGATGATAAAAAGAAAATGTTTTAGGGACACAACAAGTATGCAAGACAAAATACATATAATTGGCTTACATTGCTCGGTTCTACAGATATGTGCCAGGAGCAGCTGATGCCTGCTGGGTAATTAGAGTTGGGCCAGTTGGGCGTCTTGACAGAGCCTTGCGATTTGGTCAGGCGTCCTCCACAGAACTGGTTCTCTGTGGGCATTAAAAAGAGTACAGAGTCAAAAGGAAATGAAATACCCCACACTTAAATCTTTTTCAAATGTCCCATGAAGCAAAAAAACCTGACAGATTAATTTGTTTATTCCAGATTGTGCCAGTGCAAGCCAAGATAACAATAGTGCTACCATTCATCACTAGAAAATCACAAGACAAAACTGTGTAGCAGCAAATTCAGTAGTTCATCCTGGTCTATGTGTTTCTGTGCTTGTTGTCCACACCTTCCATATGTGGCTTCCCTGCGCTGAAGGAAGCCAGAAAGCCTCTCCCACCAGTGCCGTCATCTGACACCATCTCTAACATCATGGTGTTGGAGGTGGAGATGAGGGCGCCGGGCCGAAACGTCCCACAAAAACGACCCAGCTTCTGCACCAAGCGGGAGTGACCATTGTAGACGTCCAGGTAGTCGTACCGACAGGTGGGGTCAGCCTCCATGTCGAAGAGGCGGAAAGACAGCATGACCACGTGGCCCTCTGGGACCTGGAGGGGAGTGACAGGTGATGTTTGAGGAAAGACTACTACAAAAAGTAGTTACAGGAGTCGCACCTTAATAAAGGTGGGGTGCTTGAATAGAAATCAGGAGGAATTTCCTTTTTGGAGCACTTTTAGCCTAGCCTGTGTAAAGGTTTATGATTACATTTAATTTCACACATTTCCATGAAAAATAAACCTTGTTGTACCATCCTACATTGCATATAAAGTGTTGAATTGTTATAAATATGGTCTTTAGGGGTTACA